AATGCACATGTTTGGCTCCTGGCCTCCAGGGTACCATGCAGTATAGATCTGGGCTGTCCAGAACTTTGTTTTTCTTCTTCTTTCTTCTTCTTCTTCTTCTTCTTCTTCTTCTTCTTCTTCTTCTTCTTCTTCTTCTTCTTCTTCTTCTTCTTCTTCTTTCTTCTTCTTCCTCCTCATCCTCGTCCTCGTCCTCTTCCTCCTCCTTGGCTTCATCCTCGTCCTCGTCCTCCTCGTCCTCGTCCTCCTCCTCCTCCTCCTCCTCCTCCTCCTCCTCTCTGCCTGGCCTGGTCCTCAGCCCATGCTTGCTGCTGTCTTTTCAGCTCAGCCCTGCAGAGCCTGGGAAGGACAGGGGACATCATGTGCCTCCAAGTTAGAGACAGAAAGCAAGGCCAGTGGGAACTTCTGACATGCAAGAGGCTTGTAGGGGAGGAATGGTCATGCCTCACAGCCCAAGTATCCTTTTTCCCTGATCTGGTTGCTATCCTTGTCTACTTTGAAAAGCAGATTCGACTTGCCTTCACTGCTGCTCAGATCAACCCAGAGAAGGCTGAGGAGAGTGTGCCTGGGTGTCCTCCCAAGTTACTCACTGGCAGGAATCTCAGGTCAGCTGGGAAGCTGTGTTACACCTCCTGTGCTTCAGTACTGCAGACACTAAAGAAGTGGGGGTACCACCCCTAATACAGCAGAGACTAGGGAGGGATTTGAGCCTGCTAGTAACATCCCTCAACCCCCAGCCCCAGTGAGCTGTGATGAATAGAACATCACCAGCTTGCATAAGAGGGTTCAACATAAGGGGTTCAGCCCTGCCAGTTTTCATGCAGACACGACTGCTATCAGTCAGACAACTGTCCTAACCCCCCTCTCCTAGCAGGCTCAAATTTAAAAAGCAGAACTGAGCTTGAACCAGTTATAGTGCTGCTCTTGGGCCAATTGCAGGCCTGCAAATGCTGTATGGGCAACTCTCCTTCAAACTTCCAGGTCAGGCTCGAAGGGCTCGCCCTGGGGTCTTGACTTCCCCAGCATGCAGCACAGGTTCTGTCCAAGGTAACCCTCACTCCAGCAGCCCTGGAAACCTACTTGTGATATGTTGTTCAGGTAGCATGCCCTCAGAAAGTCCTGCAAATCTACTTGGGACTCTTGTGTTGAATAGCATAGACATAGTTACTGCTTTAAATGAAAGATTAATAAATTCTATTAAATGTCAGTTTTGAAGGACTCAGAGCAGTGACCAATGGTATTTCTCAAAGCTGCACTTTACCAAGTCATAACTCCTAGCTGAGTCAAGCAAAAGAGCCCTTGCTTGTGGGAGTGCGTTTAGAGCAGATGTGGATGGTGGGGATGATGACCTTGTCATTTATGCTCTGCACATCTGCCATGTATAAATGATATTCCTATGTAAAACAAAATAATAAATTTTAACTGGCATTTATATATGTATGTATGTATGTATGTATGTATGTATGTATTCATTTTTGAGACAAGGTCTCACTATTGCCCAAGCTTGTGTGACCTGGACTCATGTGATCCTCCTGCCTCGGCCTCCAAAGTAGCTGGGACTACAGATGCCATCATGCCCACCTTAATATAGGACATAAACAGGTGATACCATCATTCCAGTTAGCTGCAAATTGTCAAGATGTGACCACCTGCTTCTTTAGCCTACCGTTCAGAAAGGAGTGGACATAGGAAGCAGCCATGTAGAACCCACGGGCTGGCTTCCCTTTGCCAGACGACTGCAATTGGCAGGTGTGCAGGGCCTTTGGAGTCACTGCACCACTGCATGACTCAGAATAGAACTCTGCAGTTCCTATAGCCCTGGGAGTGTTTCCCTCTGTCACAGTTCGCTTTGTGTATGCGGGACATCTGAATTTCTTAAAAATCAGATCAGCTGGTGGAATTATCTACTTTATGTTCTAAACAATCAAAAATAAGTATATATTACTAGGTTCTACTATTTTAAAATTCTCCAACCTTGTAATTTCTCATTATGTCTTTATTTTTCATATTTCTGCCTGCTTTTTTTTTTTATTGTGGTGGTCCTTTTCTTCTCTCCTTCCTTTCTTCCTTCCTTCCTTGTCTCTGTTGCTGGGCTTGAACCCAGCGCCTGGCTCCTGCAGCAGACATGTCCTGCCCCTGACCACACCCTACCCTGCCCCTGGCTTTGAGCAGAGTGCCTCGGTCTGTATTTGTTCCTCATGCTGTCGGCCCTCCCATGGCACACTGCATGGCATCCTTGCAGCTCTGACCAGGAACTCTTTTGTCACTGCTGTTCTCAGGCACAGCAGCATGGTCTGTCTGCTCTTTGACCCCGAAGAAAGGAATTTTATGCTTCCTGGGAGTGTGCTTTATCAGACTCTAGATGAAGCATTGCCATCTAGGGATTTCACTTGCATTCATCTGCCCTTTGCAAGGTTTTCATCACAACCTTGTGGATGCGGTTTTAGTAGCAATTTTGTTATCCTCTCTAGTTATCTGTGGGCTCAGTGCTGAGCGGCAGGAAAACAGCAGGCAAATTCCACCAACTTGGCCCCCATGTAAGGAAACCTGAATGAATCAGTGGGCTCAGGCTGTCACCTGGTCACATTCTCCTTCCCAAAACCTATAGCCAAGGAAACCACAGAGCGTGTGACCCTGCCAGTCTCCCTGCCACAGCCCTTGCCTCCTCCAGGGGGCGACCCTGTATGCACCTCCTGATCCCTTTAGCCACCATTAAGTGGGCTGGTCTGCCCCAGGGTTCAGAGGTCTGTACCTCTAGTGTTTCTGTCCCCTCCAGAGGAGCCTTTCAGAATTCAGGATCCTTCAATCTGCGAGGGGCCCAGCCTTTCATTTCAGCCCACACCACCTTCCTGAAGAAACGTCTGCAGTCTCTGCATAGGAAGGAGCTCAGACATGGACCCACCCTGACAGAAACCCACAGGATCTGAGGCTATCTCAAGTGCCTGGCTGTCCAGGCAGGGTCTTTGGCCTCCAGCCTCAAGCCACCATAGAGGCTATTTCCTGGGAAACATTTATAAGCAGATGTTGAGAAAATAACAATTATGTGGTTTGGGTGGATTCAATCCCTAGCTAATCATAGAAACTAATTATAGGTTGCATTACTAATTTCAAGGGAAAATCAAATCATGTATTTTTGGATTTTTTTTGCCAATAAACCACTTACATGTATAGTCTTATCTGATGTGAGAGACACATTTTATTCAAGCATTACACCTTTAAACAGAACTGGTGGGTATCAGCCTCCTCTTGTGAGATGTAAACCACAAGGCATTTCCCTCTCACAGATCTCTCAGCAGGGAGACAAGGCTCAGTGCACCCTGTGCCACAGATCAGAGCAGTTGCTTCTGACCGACTGTTGTGATCACCATGTGGGCATAAATTCTTCAAATAGCAAAGAGCTTAAGTTGCTTTCTGAGAATCCACTCAAGGATGGTTTGAAACTGGCTTTTCCAGAAAGACTATGCAAGAAGTCAGCTTGCCCGGTCCATGACCTTTTTACATCACAGGCTCTGAATCTCTAGAGCAGGACAATGCTCCCCATGAAGGGAAGCATGTGGCCTGTGAAGGCAGCTGATGGAAGCAGGGTTCATTGGTGTAGAGTCCCTGCAGTCACACCTGGGCTTACTGTGACAGTTTGTCTCACAGGCTGAGACAGGGAATTAGGAAGGTCCTCTAGAAGGTGACCCTCACAGGAAACACTCATGGGGCTGCTTGGGATTCCTCTCTGGTGCCCTGACCCAGATGGATACCAGCTCATATAGGGCCACTCAGTCTTTGGGTCCTAAGATTTCACAAGTTTGAACCCAAAACTTGAAGGGAAACTTCGAGGGGAACTTGAAGTATGGGTATTTGTCCTGCGCTCAGGCCCAGCTCTTGAGGCCCTGAGAGTTTCTGGAGTACTAAGAGTGTCTTTGACATCTCTGAGAGACCCTCCCCACAACACCCTAGTTTAAGCCAATGAGGTGACCGAGGTGCCCCAGACCTGTGCCCTGCTCCATCGAGGCACAACCCTGGGCAAAAACTCATAAAGCTGCATTGCCAACATGTGTGCACATCACTGTACAACAGGTCTCCAACTGTCTGAAAGCACCTGGGAGCCTGGAGTCTGCAGCCACACATGTGTGGATTCTGGCATACCTCAACTCAAGCTGCTTGCTAAGTACAGCTGTAAACGAAGGGCTGGCTCTATCCTTCCAGCTTGGTGGAAGAAACTCCAGGGTTTCACCTAATAACACCTAATGTTGAAATATTGCTTAGAAATGAGTTCTGTGAAAAAAGAAATGGCTTAATGAGGAAATCGTTTCCTAATCACTGAAATTTCATTTCATTTTATTTTAAAAAGGGGGCGGGAAAGACCGGTGGAACTTGAAAGGCTGAGAATGTGAAAGGGAAGAAACAAACAGCACCACTGGAGACACGGCAAGCAAGCGAGCACAGGCCCTTCCCGCCTTGGGACTCTCAAGTGCAAGCCAGCTTAGGGCGCTGGGTCTCTACTCTTCCACAAGGACATCAGGGCTCCCCAGGACTCTAAGCAACCTGTGATGCAGGCGTGGTCAAGATTGTTTTCACAGCGTCGCCAGGAGAGACCGCAGCCTCGAGAGGCCAGTGCCAGAAGGGATGGTGGCCAGGAGAGGAGAAAGCCACGAGCCGTGACCACCATGAAAGTGACCACCAGGAGGGGCGACCACCACAAGAGGTGCTGGCCATGAATGTGACTTCGATGTGAGCGCTACGATAGGTTACTCCAGCAGGGGTGACAGCCACAGGTTGTGGCCGCCCCCACGAGCCGCAGCACAGCTCAACCGACCCGGGACTCTCCCCCGGCACCCAAAGTGCATACCACCACCTGGCTAGGGATCCTAAAGAAACCCACTGTCAGGACTGCAACCGATTGGCAGAGTCTGGGAAGGCCGGCGGTGATTGGCCTGTGCCTTCTTCCGCCGCCGGGCAACTGGGCGACGCGATTGGTAAAGATGCGCGACACACCCCTCTCTCCCCGCCCACCTACACGTCACCACCCGGCGTGCCGCGCGCCGGCCTCCTTCTCTGGGGCGGCCCAAGATGGCGGTGCAGGAGTCAGCGGCCCAGCTGTCCATGACCCTGAAGGTACAGGAGTACCCGACCCTCAAGGTGCGCACTGCGTCGCGGCTCGTGTCGTCACTGTGCTTCCTGCGGGGCCAAGGGGTTTCCCGGGGACGGAGCCCAAGCACGGCCAGAGTGGTGGGGGCCGGGGGCGGGGTCCGCAGGGGATGGTTGGGCTGGGGCTGGGGCCGGGGGCGGGGGGCGGGGGGCGGGGTCCGCAACGGGCGTCGGCGTCGAGGCCGGGGCCGGGGCTAAGGCCAAGGCTGGGGCAGAGTGGAGTCGAGGGGCGGGGACCGGCGGTGGCCGGCGTGGCCCGGGGTCTGGGGGCCAGGCCTGGCGGGTAGGTCGACGGGGGCCTTGGGGACGCGGGGCCAGAGGCGCTGGACACCTAGTGGCGCAGTCCGAAGGCGGCCGTCGGTCTTAAGGTGGTGACCGAGCCGAGGACCACTGCGAGTCGGAGCGAGCGTCGCGGGCGTGGGTCGCGGCGGTGTCCGGCCACCTCCCGGAAGCTCCGGCTGGGCGTGGCGAGTTGGCCTCTGGGCATTACTTAGGGGACTGAGAGGAGCCCCAGCCCCCCAGGGGCAGTCCATCTTGCGGGGCTCCCCACAATTCCTGGGCAGTGCCTGTCAGGGCGCTGGGGGCGTGACCTTGGGTGGTCGGTCGCTTCCATTAGACGTAAAAGCTAGCCTTGCGGGGTTGGGGCAGGAGGCTGGTGCGGGCTCTGTAATGACTAGAGGATTTGATGGTGCTTGATAGGCTCCAGTGAGGAAATCCCTTCAGAGATCAAGGTCGGACGATCCTAGGAGAGCCGGCTGAGCTTTGGGATTCTGCAGTCACATCCCGGAGGGCCAGGTAGATGCTTTCCAGCCAGAACACCTGATGACCCCTTCCATCTCCGCGATGATATTTGGTGGCGGATGCAAGGCCACAGCCAGTATGTGTCCTCAGCCTCAAAGCTTGGCTAGCTGCCTTAGCGCATGGCCCTGAGCCCTCTGGGCCCCACCCCAGTTTAATTTTGATGCTGTCTCTTGTCAGATGGAAGCCCTTGAGGCATCCTTCACCCCCGGGGCGAAATAAGTGACTACATACTGCTCAAGACACTGTTGGTTCCCCCTGGAAGGCACCTGTTAGCGGGGTCACTGCTTTCATTCGTTTGCCGTGGTGAGGTTGGTCTTCACAGGGAAGCAGAGGTGAAGCACTGTTCTTCCTCAGTGAGGAGCAGCTGTGTTTCATGGCAGTTTTATATCCTGCATTTTATTTGATTAAGAGGATGGGGGAGGGGCGTTGTTGGCTTCACCAGATCTCTTTGCAGACCCCTTCAGGATCTAGGTTGTTGGTTTTATATTCAGCAGGGATTACCAGCATCTTCAGACCCGTTTGAACAGACACACAAAGACGTTTGCAGATCAGAACTGTTAGTTTGTCGCTGTTGTTTTAGTTTGACTGCTGAGAACTGCTGGGCAGGAAAGTTTTCCAGAAAGTCTTCCATTGCCTCCTGAATGCATTAGAAGAGGAAGTGCACAGTCAGGAAAGGGTTCCTTAAGTTCTCTCACTTCTAATGACTGAATGTGCTTTGCATTCCAAAGATGTTGGGTAGCCTCTGATTAAAATGGGTGCGCAATTACTTAGGCAGGTACAGAAGGGTAGTGCTGTGGTTTCAGCCAAGTTTGTCATAGTTTTAAAAAATTTTTTTGTGTTTTTCTTATGATGATGTTTAAAGGCTAGGCATGGTAGGCTGTAATCCTACACTCTTGGAGGTTGAGGCAGGAGGATCAAAAGTTTGAACTTAGCCTGGGCAACTTAGTGACTTAGTGAGACCCTGTTTCAGTAAAAAGATCCTGGGGCTGTAAGCTCTGTGCAAAGGCCCTGGATTCAGTCTCCAGTACTACAAAATAAATAAAAATGGATATTATGGAAGAATTTTTGAAAGTAGAGATGCTGTTTCCCCCAGCAAGTACAGTGTAGCATTTCCCTTCCAGGTTCTTTAGTTCTCATCCCTGTAATGACTTCTTGTTTTGTTGACAGTGTGTTAGTGGTGAGTTTGTGTTTTTGCTGTTGTCAGAAGTGATATCTGGTAGAGGATAGGGAGATTTTAACTGGGGCTCTAGGGTTCCTAGAGTTAAAAGTGTTTGTTAGCATAGAGTGAAAGGACGTGGGCCGTGCTGATGGCTCCAGAGCAGTGCTGTTGACAGGTATGAGGAGGTTGGGCACAGGTGCAGATGGTGTGGAGACACACCGTGTAGAGTCTGAAGGGTGTGAGGTCTGGATGCTGGGCCTTGTAAAAAGCATGTCCTCCTGCAGGCTATGGGACCTGGAAGATACTAGACTAAATCTTCACCTGGTGAGAATTAAACTGTGTTCCCTTTGCAGACTCTGAGGGGCAGGGGCCTCTATGTGGATTCAAGCTTCTCTTTGGCAGTTGTTCCTGGATGCCTTCATGCCCTTCTCTTTCTCTTGTGTCCGGGTGACATGGGAATGGAATGGTGCAGTATGGGATGTGGTTGCCAGCCTGCTCTGACTTCCATTGCCCCACGGTGGGTGGAGAAACAATGAGTGGCCTCTGTGGTCCTGGGAACCTTTGGATGTGTGACGTGTGCTGTGCAGCAGCCCCTTCACCTGGCGATAAGTCCATATCACAAATGCCTGCTGGAATAGCCACAAGTGCCCAGGGCAGAGGCCCTCCAGGCAGGAGTTGCAGGGGGTTTGTTTTGCTGTTGAAGGCTGACTGGTGTCAGGTTGTAGGTGATGGCCCTCTGGAAATCCTTGTTTGATTATTTTTCAGAAAGTTTTTGCAAGTTATAAAAGTATTTTGAGGTGTCCCCCCCCCCTTCAAATAATTCTGCATGGGGATCGTTCCTTCCTCCCATCTTCCCATCCCCACTACCCAGATCAGGTATGTATCTGTCTGGCCCTGGGCAGAGCCTAGCAGTTGCTCCTGGGAGCCCTGGCTGTGGACACTGTCCTTTCAAACTTTGGTTGGAGATGCTGTCCTTGCGTCACTGGAGATGGGCTGAGAGTGTAGTTAAGTACATTGTTGAGTGTTTGGGTGTTCTGACTTGCATTTGCTCACAGTCTGGCTGGCCGCATACTGTCCTGCATTGCACAGCTTGGATTTGTACTTGACACAGAACATTTGTGTGCCAAGCACATGATTGAGTTAGAACTGATAGTGCAGTTTTCCAAATTGGGTCTTGGCTACATTTGGGAGGATCATGTGCTCTCAAGTGTGAGAAATGCTGGTAATCACAGAGTGTGTGACTTAAGCGACACCCATGTTGAGCTTGGTTGTAGCTGTGTTGTACCCCAGGCAGTGGCCACATACCAGGTCTTAACTTGTGTGCAAAGGAGAGCTGCCTCCTCCCTTGGAAGCTGTGTTACACTAACAACACCTGGTCCTCTCTTTTGCCCTCTTTCTTGATGCTGAGTAAGAATCCTAATCCCCTTTCTCTTCCAAGCTGGAAACTGGTCACGTGCTCTGGTCTGGAGCAGTTTGGCACTATCTTCAGAGCCTGCTCTTCCTCCAGCACAGCTGTAGTGCTTTCCCTCCCTGAGAACTGTGCCCTGCCTCCACCTCTCTTCCTTGTCGCTCTACCATTCATGGGACATTAGGCAGAACACAGCTGATGTTGCTGTGTCCCTTCTTGCTTTTTGGCTTGCTGCTTCTGCTGCCTGTGTCCACAGGGCCAGGCAGTTACAGAGATTACAGTTATAGGGCCAGGCAAGCCCTGATGGAGATGGGCATACAGGTTCAGTTTCCTTGCTGGCTTCTGGGTTGGTCTTGGTTTTATCTTTTAAGTATTATTATGTTAAGCAGATTTTGAGGTAGGAGGTACGAGGAAGAGGACTTTTTTAATACTGTAGCTCTCTGTGCTGCATGGGCCACGTTAAGGCAGGGCTAAAATGAGGTGCATAGTGGCCCGTGGGCTGCAGAACTGAGCATGGCTCTGTCTGGCACTGGTGCCTTTGTCCTCGCCTGTGTGTTCCTGCCTTGGCTGTTGGGGGCCTTGGAGCAGATGCTAGGAGGGTATGACAAGGTAGGCAGAGCAAGTGCACTGCCTGAGAGCCTTTAAAGATCCTAGGGAAGCCTGGGGAATTGGGCAGAGCTGGTGGTCAAGGGAGTTGTTTGGGGGACAGGGAATCCACGTGGGCTGTGCCAAAACTTTGGCAGAGTCTACCCCAGGAGGCTCCCTGGGCTGACAGTGTGGCCTGCGGTACAGGGGCCAGAAATGGAGGTGAGCCTGGCTGGTGAGGTGGCATGGAAGGAAGGGAGGCTGTACCATCACCATTGTTCTCTTGGGGCTCTAGGGAGAGGGAGTCTCTGTGTGCTGCCCTCCCCTTGAAGACCTTGGTCTCTGCTGAAGTAGATACTGGTCATTTAGGTCCTGAGACGAATTCTCACTGTGTTACTGACTTGTGAATGTTGAGTGAAGAAAACCTGCAGCTATGCTGGGACCTGGCTCTACCCTGCTACTGGGAAGCTCCTGTCCCTCTCAGGCCCCCTCTGCCTGCATGGTTCCCCATGGTCCCTTATAGTTATCATGCCATGTGCCTTCACCCTGGTCTGAAGGTCCCTTTTCCACTGGCTGGCCCATTGGAGTGCTAATCGCCAGCTGCTGCTCCTCTGCACCCTCCTGTCTACCCTCTGCTTCAGGGTGTGCCCTAGTGGTCAGACCCAGCTAGTCCCTGTGTGCTACCTGCAGGGCTTTTACTGTCCTCTCCAGTCTTGGTTTCTCCACACACTTCACCAGACCATTGGTCTTGTCATGGTGGATGTTCAAGACAACTGGAGCGGCTTGTCTTCTACTAATGCCCCCAGTCAGGCCACTTCCCTGAGCTCCCTCTCAGACCTCAAGCATCGAGCCCCTCTGTAGGCATCCTGGAGGCTGATCATAGGTGCCATGTGCAGGGTCACCACATCCTGGTCCCAGTGCACCAGGCCTGACCCTTCCATACCTTACTGTTCTGTCCCAGGTGAAAACAGCATCTTCCTGCCACTCATTCCAATGGACCAAGACCTTGGCATGTATCCACTCTTGCTTACTCGCTCTCCCTGTTTCAGGCTGGTGCTCTGCTGAGCTGTACTTCTAGTTACTGTTCCCCTTTTCAGGAATGTTTTTGTTTTCTATTGAAAAACATGATCATCTTCAGGTTCCCCTTAATCCACAGTGGCTGCTGGGGCTCCAGCTCTCAAATCTAGCAGGAAAACTGTCCACTGGATCAGCTCCCTGCACAGGGATTTCTCAGAATGCTTCTGAGCATTAAATTATAGCATGTGTGAGCTTCTTTTGCTATCTGTCCTTACCCTTGTCTGTTTTCTTTGTGCCACTAGTACAGCCTGACAGAATAACCTGCACCTGTTTGTATTTTCTTCCTATCAGACTCCTTAGCCTGTATGCGCTTGGTGTAAGACTTCACTTTGGGCACATCCAATGGTGCCTGGCATGGGGTTACAATAGACAGCTATTAGCTAAATGAATTTCTTCACAATCTGATTGGAAAATTCCTTGAAACTCTTCACTTTTGTTCATTTGTTGCATTCCACAGCACTTCCGCTGGCATGCGTTGTTATCTGTCTAGGTGAACAACCTTTTTCATGTTTCTCTTTACCCTTCTCTAGCAGCATGCCCTTGCTGTGCAGCCTCAGCCCTCATCCATCTGTCCAGCATTTTTTTTTTTTTTTTTGAAACAGTCTCACTATGGAGCCCAGGCTGGCTTTAAACTTGCAGCAATCCTCCTGCCTCAGCCACTCAAAGTGCTGAGACTACAGGCATGTGCCACCATGCCTGGCCCACCCTGAATTCTTTTTTTTTTCCACTCTGAATTCTTACAGATTGCAGCCTGGTTCAGCTTTC